TTTTGTCTGAGTGTGCAGCATCGCCAAAAAGTCCCCCCAAAGATGGGAAATAAAACATCTTTCGTCATAGCATCGGAATGGCTTATTTGTCCGCGTGGATTTTATTGTTATTGTTGCGATAACTCTGGGGAGAAATCGATATGTCACAAAATAGGATATGATTATTAGCGAAACTATTAAGCCTTTATTAGTGCCAATTTTGTCCAATTTCGTCGTTGTGTTCCTGAAACACGGCCGCAAAAAAAGCGCCAACGGAGTGAGAGTAATTCTTAGTCAATGATGCTGTGCGTCATCTCGCGATCGCGACTCTTTCATACATTGTGTGTTTGTTGCAAGGGAAACGCCAAAAGTGCGAAAATTGCCTCGCATGTCTCACACGATGATGGAGAAAATCATGCAATTGGCAAGTGTATTAGCATAATTGCACTAAGCGCCATTAATTTTCCAATCTAATGCGGAGAACCGTAATGTCATCGCATATTTAAATATTTCTCTGTGTGGCTAAATTTATGGAAATTGTATTCAGAAACACATTACAAACACGATAACAACAATAAGGTGTCGTGGAATTAACTAATAAATCTCCCCAAGCGCCAATTTTGTCAAAGCCACGGATGAATTTTCATATTACAGACGAGCAAAAAAAATCCGGAGATCGTCACAAAATGATCGCACGCGACATTCGTGGAAAAAATTAATGTCGCCTTTTTTCCACACTGACATTTAGATCAAGAATGTGTGTTGTTTATTTGGTCGTTTTGGGCGCAGAATCTTGAAAAAAATTCTCGATCAGTTCGCGCTTGAGGGCGGAAAATGGGCACAAATTGGGAGGGAAGAAAAAGACTTAAGAAACCTTCTTTTTTTTTCCTTATCTTCCACGCCACTCAATCACTTCTCGTCTGAGTGGAATGTATTTGAAAGTCTCTCTTGTTGCGCCAGGGGAAAAAAGAACCACGAAAGGAAAATCTTGTGCAACAACAAGTCGGTGAAGTTCCACCTTCGTGTGTGAGAGAGAGAGAGAGAGAGACTCTGATGTGGAATTCAATTTGCCGTGCGCGAGCGTCCCACAAAAAAAAGGCATCATTGGCACAGGTTGGCGAACAGAGAGACATGCTGGGGTAAAAATGCTAAAAACGCAGAGATAATTATAAATGCAAGTTGCAATTTATAAATTGCTCTGAATTCTCTTTACTGGAAAACCGTCAAATGCACTCGTCAATCAGGTGAGTTGTGCGCGCGCTTCCATCTTGGCTCTTTTGTGGTGGAAGACGTGAAAAAAATCACTAAAACCAGACTTGCAGTGCTCAAAAGTCAACTCATCTGGACTCATTTGGTGCTTCAGTGCGATGTTTTCATCAAAATGCCAGTCAAATAGTGCTCTGAGATTGGCTAAATTAGGGTGAAATGGAGGAACATTTTGGGGACAATTGAAAATGCAATTTAAGTGCCTTTAGTTCCACTAACCTTGTACTCCTTTCTAGGTGGCAATTAATGATTTCTCTAGAACGATTTTGAGTGCTCTTGCTCATGTTTCCAAGAAGCAATTCTCAATGTCTCATGATTCTGCAAAAGAAACTCTCGCGCGCGATCGTCTGAAGTATTGGCACTGTATGCAAATTCATTCGAGAAATATATCATTTGCGATATTTTCATTGAATCTCTTGTGTTCACAATATGAAATCGCGTAATGACTACTCAGCCATCTCTCTTGCAATTAATGCAAGTATTTCATTTTATAAAATCATTCCTGTGTGGCGTCAAGCATCTCAACATTGAAGTTTTTCACATGAAGCAATTTATTATACACTCAACATCTCATTTGTTATGATCTTGCAGATCAATATGGAAAGAGAGAAAAACAATCTATAGGTAATATTCACTCTTGTGCCTGAAATGTTGTGAGATTTTTCAAATTATTCACCGTGAATTGTCTCTGAATCGCAACAGTGCGAAAAAAGATGTGTATTTCCCGCGATGGGCGCGAGACTGAGACTGAGCAAGGGGAAATTATATAAACCTATAGATATATATGTTAAAATTGAGATTTGGATAAAATTCTCTTCTGACAGTAAAATATTCGTCAGAAAATCAAAACTGTGAGTCAAATATTGAGATATTTGAAGCACTTCAACTTCCTAAAACTCCTACTGATCTGTACACCACTTCTGACCACAATATCTCCCCCTTGAGACGCGAATGGATGAGAAAAATATAGGAATATCAATTGCACAAATAATGTCAGTTGCTGAGCATGCGAGAGGAAAAACTAATTGGCATGAGTGAGTGATGTATTGTGTGATTTCCCAGCGAGGAAAATTGCAAGTTTTCCCACTATTTCGCGCTGTCAATTTTGCATGGGTGCTGAGTGATCGCGATCGGCATCAAGAGATCACTCGAGTGGCGTCTCACTTTGGCATTGATATGAAAGATGTCAACATGAGGAATAGAGAATAATGTCAACAAATACAGAATACTAACCTAATTGAGCGTTTTTTCCGCTCTTTCTTGTGAAATAGAAAACAAAGTCCACGTCTGTGGTCGATACACTGTCAACAGCTATTCTTGGCGTGCTTCTTCCCAACTGTTTTTCCTCCCAACAATTACTTCGGATCTTTGGCTCTTGTCTCTGAGAGCATTTTGCAGTGTGTCACCTTCGGGTCCATATCCATGGCGTGAGTGACATAAATTGAAAGATAAAATAATCACATAATTAAAAACATGTTTTCTCACTTTATATGTAGGCGGATTTTATTCGCATTTTGTCGCTGAACTTTTTTTTTGTCCAACTCCCCATATTTCTAATCATTTGTCCCCGCTCTCGCTGACTTTTCAATTTTTCCAACCATTTGAGCGGCAAGTATATATATGTTTGAAATTCTTCAGGCCTCTTTTTTCGCCATCTCCGCGGTCTCTCCATCAACACTCATTTATCATGTGTCTGCGTGGCTCGCGCACAGGCAAAAGAAAAAGAGATGCTAAAGATGGTGATCAGGAGAGGAGAATTTATTCGAATTTTATAAGCTAATATGTCGATTCCTCCTGCTGTTTACAACTAAAACTAATGGATTTCAAATATGTACACAAAAACCTACATAAAGAGTCGAGATAAAGATGTCTATGCGCCTCCTTTCAACCGTACCAAAAGTCAGTCACTGACGCCGACCACGAGATCGAGTGTGATCTTCACGAGATCGGGACGCAAGGAGGGGGGATAAAAGGCTAAATTATATGGTTATATTAGTTTTATAGACAAAAAAGCATCCAGTGTCTGTTTTGTGGAGAGAAGAGTGAAAGACAGAGTAGGAGAATCTGAAAAATTTATGGACTTTTCGAGAGGTGGAAGGCAAAAAAATGCCAAGAGAGAGAGAGAGAGACAAAAGTGTGTAAACTCAGCTCCTCTGTGAGCCACGGGATTCTTATGATCATCCTGGGATGCTTTATTGCCATTAGGACGACTCTGTAGATCATCTCGAAGTGCTGAGCAATTTCCATCGTGAAATGTTTCTCGGAATAATTGCCAAAGAGTCGCAGTTGAAGCTCTAAAAACTTCCTATTGTGTCCGCCAAGGGGGAGATAATATGGCCAGAAGTGGTGTACAGTTCAGTAGAAGTATTTGGAAGTGAAGTGTTTGAATATTATCATTATATTGCGTTCAAATGTTACTTTCAAAAGGAATAAACGCAATAATTGGAGAAAAAGAATTATTCTTCACTTTTTTCTAGGTTATGTGAATAATTTTAGGCGCACTTTTCCACTACATAACCTCCAAAATCATTTATTTTTTCGCCTAAACTGGTATTATTTACATTTACTAGCACAATTATAATGAAATCCGATAAAAGATCACAATATTTCACTGTTAAACTCATGTTAATTTCACTAAAATTGATCATAACCTCTAAAATACTGTTACAGGATACAAAATTGTTTATTTGATGAGCTATTTGATTGACTTTCTACTCTGAAACAGCAAATTTCTGCTCATTGTCGATTTAGGATATTCCGAAGAAATTTCTTTCAAGGATTCGTTTCGATATCTCAACGTAATTTTTAGGTTATGATGAAAGTGCATCTAAAGAGCGATTAACAATTGAATCACATCAAAATATCCATTGTAAACTTTAATATCTCTAAAACATACTGTTTCTCTGTATGTTTTTGGGTTTATTAGAGTGAAAACTGCATGTATTTTGGGTTAAAAACACCCTCAATTTGAGTCTAAAATAGGAAAAACGCATATTTAAGGCACTGCCAAAGTGTTTTATCTCCCCCTTGATGTGCGCAGCATTTACATATAGCTGAAACCGGTGAAGAGATGACGGTTGAAAAGTGAAGATCGCGTATAATAGATTCCGCGGATGAGACGAGTTACTATTTTATGTGGCTGATTCAAACGTCCTTGCCACAGACACATTCGCAATTTGGCTATTTCACCTCAAAGTCGTAATTTGATGGTAAAAATTAATTAGTGTGGATCGATGGTCGTGTCTCGCTTCTTCTTTCCATCGTTTTCGGTGGATTCCTTCGCCATCCTCGTCTAGCAATTGGATGGCGTCAATTTACTGTACCGTGTGTCTGTGTATCTTTTAATTTACATACTTAATAATAAATCAAATGATAGAAGGAACGCTATTTGGAATTGTTATAGGAATTATCATGGAGGCGCTTCATGACTTGGCAATTTTCATCTTTTTTCCATACCATTGTTGTTGTTGTTGCTGAGTGGTTGGCATGTGGATGGAGAGGCAATAGAGAGCAAGAAGGTGGATATATATGGGAGATAAAGTGGTTGGAGAGGAGATGAAAAGAAATTCCACAGTAATCGATGGTTTGCCTCCAATTTATCAATTTTAACCTTTTCCAACTGCTAAATACGCTGCTTCCTCGTTCAGCTTCCTCGATCATCTTCTCCTGAGGCCCTGACGCTTTGGGCTCTTTGGAGTCTCTGGAGGGAGAATGTGACGGAATACTAATGCGATCTCTCTCTCTCTCCCTTGCAGTGATTTGGCACATTTTTGCGGTTAGAGTGGCAACAGCAGCTAGCATCCAATAGCTGCCGATTGCTGAAATGGATCGTCGTGTGTTGGTCACTTGGATGCTGACCCTAATTTTCCTGACCTCAATATCAACTGTGAATGCAGCTGAGAGTATAAGTGAGTACTAACTATACACAGTCAGTTTTCCCACCTTTTCAGCCATGAAGAGCACTCACAGTGACGCCTTTGCACACTCTGCAAAATCAGTTCAATGCAAAGGCTTAAGGATCACGTGAATCTCTCTCTCTCTGTAACTCAACTGCAAAGCTTTCGCACTGAGTACACCTACTATATAGCCGCGAATCAGGTTTAAAAAATACGCACAACATGAAAAGAAATCCATGAGCTGCCACAATGTCTTCTAGCGTGAAATATGCTTCGATCCTCTCTATCTCTCATAGCAAATAAACTGTCTTATTGAATGTTTATTTTCTCTGTGGAGTATTCGTAGTATCTCCTCGTTAACAATGTTACAATCCTCTCCTCTTTTTTCATCTCTCGCGCTCTTTAATTTGTTTGTGGCAATAACAAATCTCGTCTCGCTGTGGACTGTGTTTGCATTAACCAATTAGGTTTTTTTTTCTCTTATTTAGTAGGATCATGTTAAACTTACCTTCTCGCTCGTCAAATATTACCCACCATAATTGCAGTGTCATGAAAATTTCTATTATTGAACACTTTTCCATCAAACACAATTGTGGGCATCGCTTAATTTGACTTTGTTTACAAATTTGTGATCGATTTATTTTTAGAAGAATGTCAATCAAAACGATCAAAGCCCACCTCCGCGATCGCTTTTCAGAGGGGGGAGATCAAGACATTTAGATGGCCAATTCCGGTGCTGGAGGATTTATTTTAAGAAATCAATGCCATTGTTACAAAACATGAGACAATATTGAGTCCTAAAAAAGTGCCTGAAAAACAGCGCTCAATCTTGTCTCAAAGTTTATGCAATACAGAGTGGGTTAGAATAACATTGAAAAGAGAAATGTTAATATTGTGAGGAGGGATTGTGCAAGGGAAAAATTGGAGCTGACTTAGAGTTGTTTTTAAACACTGATTTTCGTCACTTAATGTCCAGAATCATCGAGATTATTGTCACTAAATGCAAAATGCTCACAATGTAATTGGAAATCAAAATCATTTCCAGTATAATTGCCACACGAGAACAAGTGTTTTCCCGATATTAATCACAATTGAGTATCTCTCTGTCTCTCGCCAATTACCTGACGCCTCGCCGCACGTCGTGTGGCGTCTGAGGCCGTGCTGACATTTTTTCCGGTAATGAGTGATTTGAGCCCACGGCAAGGGGGAGATAATATGGTCAGAAGTGGTGTACAGATCAGTAGAAGATTTAGGAAGTTGAAGTGTTTCAAATATCTCAATATTTGACTGACAGTTTTGATTTTCTGTTGATTATTTTACTGTCAGAAATTAAATTTTGTTTAAATCTAAATTTTAACATATTTTTCTAGGTTATGTGACTGATTTAAGACCTAAATAACATCTTAAAGTAGAAATTCTGACGCCTAAATGGAAAGTATTTTCACTTTATTGACTGAATTGCATATTTTTTCTCACTGAAAATCTTGATTTCAAGAAAAAATGCTAAAGTCAAACATAACCTCAATTAGAAAGTTTCTATACAAGATTTATAAAGTATATCTAATCTTAATTGAAGAATATGATTAAGAAAATACACGCAAGTGCAATTTTGAAAGTAAAAAATCATAAAATATTGTATGAAAACGAGAGTTTTGAAGTTAATAAAACCTTAATTTAATAAAATATCTCAATTATATCAAAAATGGTTATCGAAAACAGCAAATAAAGTCCGAAAATCATCCAAATACGCAGTCTGAAACAGAGATAAAAGACTATCAGTTAGATTTTGGTTAGATTTTAGTCTTGTTGTAAACACACCTTGAAGTCTGACATCCTGGGAAGTGTCAGGAAGTGGAAGTGTACAGATTTGAGCCATATTATCTTCCCCTTGGCCCGCGGAGCCCGGCCGCCGCGGATGTATCAGTGTGACTTTATTATACTAATTAAATTAAATGAAATGGAGGCGCATACATGCGTCTCGATATGGAGAGAGTCCCAAGAGTGGCAGCGGAGCCGGCAAAGTAACACGCGACTGACCATATTTGTAAAATGATACATGATCACGGGGACGCGTGAGGTGGGGAATAATTGGAAGTAATCGGTATTCAATTAAGCGACAGTTTACCGCCATGCAGAATCTCTCTCTCGATGTTAGAAGAATTCCCAAGCACCGGTTCTTCGTCGGAGCGATGGAAACTGGAAAGTGCGCCTCTTGAGCCACGTTCTCTGGCAGCGATCTCAGGGCAGTAGTCAGTCACTGGAGAGCACGAGACCAAACACTTCTTTCGGACTGGCGATAGTGCGAGGCGCAGAGTGGAAAATTTTAAACCGTCCGATTGTACAGTTAAAGTGGCAAAAAGTGATCATCTCCAAGTTGATTTTCATGTGATCATGCACGATCACCATTCACTTCTTCTGCAGCAACTTTGGGGCGACCCAGAGAGACAAATGTGCGCTGATGGCTGAGGAATTTGAATGGGAAGAAAGGTGACTCCTTTCGAGCGCCGCGATTTCAACCGCGCACAATGGCAGAGAATATGATGAAGGGTTCAAGGAGAACCACTTGAGACAAACACTCTCGCTAATAATTAATAATTGCAGCCTGGCTGCGATTTCGATGCAATATTGCACTAATATTGCAACGAAAAAGCCACCAATCGAAGAGTTATTGCATGACATTTTCGCAAATCAACACCGTCACAGTGACGCTGAATGCGAGATCTCCAGATGGAAATAGAATTTGTCTGTTTTCATAATGCACTTCAAGCCACACACAATGTATGATCAATGGAAATGAGTGCAATTGACGCACACACATGTGGAATTTTCCAATGCGCCGCACAAACTTTCAGACAAGGGGATGAATTGCGTTCTTTCAGCATCGCGACAATCGGGAAGGTGTTCCGCGATTGGGCTCTGGCTAGAGTGAAGGAAGCTTGCTTGATTGTTGAATTCCACATGAGCACAGAGAGAGAGACATGTTTGATTGCTGGCAAGAATTCGAGAGGAGCAGAATAGCTCGCGATCGTGTGCGTGTTGTGCGGATCGCGGCGATGCGCGAGTGCAGAGTGGCTCCGCATTGATGATGGAAGGTGCGATCGTGCGCCATCCGCGGCCATCAAGGCCACATTCCGCCTTTGGTCAACAATGTAATAACTGTAATGTGTGTAATCATTTAACAAGTGTCTGTAAAATGCCATAAAAGCCATAACGCTGATTGTTATATTCAAAAACTTGCAGCCCGAACAGAGAAATGATAAATGTGCTCTTCGCGAGCGCGCGCGGCCGCCAATTCCGGATCACTTGTCGAGGTCGATCTGCATAATGCCGAAAAAATGCGATCACGTTTCGAGGACTGCGGCGCGATGTCGCGGAATGTCTTCGGTGGGTGGCTGGCGCGGATCACATGCAGAAATGCTCCATCGCACATGATCGGCGCGCCATGAGATTGCGCGATGCTGATGTGCAGCCTCGGCTGCGTGATCGTGGTGAATAAGAGAGGCTGGAATGTCGTCCTCCCCCTCCAGGCGCGAGTATATATCTGTGAAAAAAAAATCAAGTTTTCCGACTGTTTTGATTGCCGTCTCCGCACATTAAAATTTGTGATATTCGTGTTTTTCCTTCTCCATTTCCATATCATTCCACACTGGATGATCACTCTCTTATTTCACGAGGTGCGAAAGAGAGGGAGAACCTGTTTGATCAATCGCGATCACCTGAAAGATCCGCGGCTGAGAGCGAGCAAAAATCGAAGCCAAGATCGACAGAGACGCGATCTTTTCCTTCTCTTTCACCGTGTGTCTCTCTCTTGGCCTGTGTTTGTTTTTCTTCCGAGACTTTAAGCTCACAGTACAAGATTTGATTGTATTTATACGATCACTGAATTGCCTGCAAGAGTGTCACCAGCGAGAGACTCTCGGCGGTGCAAAAAATGCTGAAGAACCAGTAAAGAATCCTCATTGTCAATTCAGCCACTATAAATATATGTTAAGGAAATATAAAGTGAACATAAAGAGAAACAGAGAGAGAGATGAGGAAAATATCTACATTTTTTGGAAATCTGAAATTCCATCTGCGAATAGAGAGAATGATCGTGTCGTAAATTAAATTAATAAACATAATCGTGATAGTTTAGAGAGAAATAATGATAATTAATTGAGATATTATTTAAAATAGATAGAACAATAAATGACACATTTTTGGTAATTTATAATATATATCTGTTGTTTTTTTTCTCTTCTCTTTTCATTTTCCTACAAATATTGACAGTGGGCAAACGAATACCGTGCACAAATGAAGGTGAAGAAATTTCCGTGGACGCCATCCCAGACGGCCATTGTTATCGGTGTATTTGTCTGGTGAGTCTCAAATTTCATATTCATCCGTTTGACCAATTAGCTTGACAATTAATCTTTGGCGCAAAAAAAGTGTGCCGACAGACTGAAAACCCATTTAAAAGAAATGGTAAGAAAATGTCTCTAAGAGTGGGAACACATTATTTGTTTCTCTCTTCTTTTTTTTTTTGAGTAAAAAGTAGCAAATTTTATGCGAACAACAATTGATCGATTGCTAACTTTAAACAGCGTTTGTGAAACTTTCTATGCAAATATTTCTTGCATAACAGCTGACATTTAATTTTACAAAGAACGGCTCAAGCCGCATGATCTGAACGATGAATAAATTTGTTCAATTCAATTTTAATTTCTTCGCAAAATCCCAGGGAGCACAAAATTCAAAGATCTCAAAGTTGGGATTTAAAATGTTAATTGTTTGGCTTTCTTTCGCTGAGATTTTAGCATTTCGGCTGATGCACTAGCGAACGTAGCGGCAACCAGTAAAAGTACCGAGGTCGCATCATGTCAAATCATGCCATTTCAATCATATACTTCGTGATAACAACACTCAAGTGAATTGTATAAATAACGCCATACAAATAACCTCAAAAGTGAGAGATTTACATGTTGTCAGACCTTTTAGTTGGACTTCCTGGTTTTTTTGCTGAGTTTCAGAAAAAGCAAAATATTTAGCTCAATATTTAGAGAAAAATAACAGGAAAATTTAGAACATTACTAAGAAAATGGATGAAGAATTAGCTAAATGAAGCAAAACAATTAGCTGAATTTCGTCCGCAGCCTTTTTGAGCTAAAAAACTAGTTTTTTTTAGATTTTTGGGTTTTTTACCTCGCTGAAATTGTACTTTCTTTGTGGTAATTTAACTCTGTCTCTAGAATATCACATTGTCGACACACGGCGGGCTTTTCATGAATTTTTCCCAGCGCGATTAATCCCCGAAAAAGGTCAAAGTGACAATCACACTTTTTGGCAAATGAAATCTCAAAAGCTATAAAGTCGAAAATTGCTTAACACCCAATTGACGGGCAAATGAAAGATCAGCAGTGATCTTCACTCTTTTTTTCTCTCGCCATTCCTATAATGATCTCTCATTGCTGCGCGGCAGCGCGATTGTCAACTTTATGTGCGCAGTGCGGAAAAAATCTATTATCAAATTATAATTTCCGGGAATTTTTCGTAATATGGAAGGCTTTTTCTATGTCTCCTCATCTGGTATTTAATTGTAATTATTTTTTCCAACTATAAGCACAAAGTGCTCTTAGTCTCCGCCAAACACACACACAAACACACAATTTAATCAGTGCGTTCCCTCTGCGAATGCCTAATTGAATTCGCAGAGATGTTGGACATGAGAAGGCGGAGGAGCGGAAGGCGAGTAAAAATTGTAAATAAAACATGCGAAAAATTGTATTGTGGAAATAATTACAGAAAAATGATATCGTGTGGCACACGTCCGGTCACTTGTTCTGCTCACTCTGCACTTCTCCATCCTCTTCTTGTTTTTTGGGGGGGGAGTTGGGTGAAGTGCAGAAGGAGGAAATTATGTGTGTGCTTTTTGCATGATGATTGTGAGAGGAATTTCATTAACATTTTGCAAAAATTTTCCTCCCGAAAGCGTCACACAATCTCCGCGAGTGCTGATATGTGTTGGAAAAATATTTAAATTCAATATCACAGCAATTACACATCGCGCCTCTTCTTTTTATGACTGGGCGAGAAAGAGTCAAATATTTGTGATACTTCTTTCTGCCAACATTTGGGGTGACTGACCTCGAATATTAAAATTGTTGCTCCCACCGAATAAATTTATGTGCGATCATTAGCAAGTGGACATGCTCCCCAAATAAATACTTGCCGAATCGCAATAATAAGATTCTCAGAGTGATATTTGCAATCACTGCAGTGGCATATTCGGCGTGACCTAGAACGCTGAATGATAAGAATTCAGATTTTTCAATTATAATAATAGATTTCTATACAACAAAGTTGAAGACGTGCCGCTTTTCAATCCAATGAGCCGCGCGCGCGCGCGCAATTCCCACAATGCTGACTCTTACACATTTTCTCATTTTACAACGTTAAAGGCATATCAAGGGGAAGATAATATGTCTTAAGTCTGTACACCACTTCCTGGCACTTCAAAATGCCTGTTTTTCCTTTTGCAAGAAGATATTGCTGCAAGAATCCACTAAAAAACGCCTTTTGAGTGTATTTTTCAACCATAACCTCAAAATATCACTAAGAGATCGTCAAAAACTTCATTTTGGCGTTTCGAAAATCACAAAATCATCTGTTTCTGGTTTGCCAATGAACTCAAAATTGCTGATTCAGAGTCACAATCAACATTTTACAAGTTTAAATGATTATTTTTGAGGTTATGTTCGATCTCAAAACAATTTTCAATGTTTCTTGACATCAAAAAGGTTCAGAATACATAGTTTATTACTTGCAAATGCTTGATTCTACCAATAACTAGCTATATTCTCGACTTGGGTGTAAGAATTGATGTGCTAGAAAGTAAATTTTTCACTGGTTACATAACCTAGAAAAGTTTAATTATTATTTCAATGTCAAAAATCAGAGTAAATCCAAAGAAACAGGATAATTTGGTAGTTAAAGAAGCACTAAGGCAAGAATACAGGAAGTTCTCTGATCTGTACACCACTTCTAGTCAGATTATCTCCCCCTTGGGGCGTATCAATCACGGCGCAAAGTGCCAAAGTATATCGTTTAAAGTCCAGAAGAAAAGTGTAACACATTGAGAATTGCAAGAAGTTAATTGACGTCAATATTTTCCACTATATAAATTTGAATATACACTTTATTGCTTATAAGCAATGGTCTGGTGCTGTAAAACGTAAGCAATTCTCGCGGTTGTGTATGCAAGAAAATTATATTTGATTCTTTTTTTCATGCGGTATTTACTCGCAATTTTGTGTTTCACTGCGCGTGATTTACGCGCTTTGCGCACTGCGCTCGAGTGCTCAGTGCTTCCGCCTTTCTTCGCATGTCCACCCACTTTTGACAGGGCGTCTCGGGCGGAGCACCCACTCACCTGTCCCGGAGATCTTCCAAACACTCCAGCAGACGCCGTGGCAGCGCTGAATTTATGGCGGTTTTCGCCATCCTCGCGTTGAGTCATGTTTTGATTTATTTTCGGGCCGAACATCTCTGGACCCAAAAACACATCAATTAATCCTCCTAATGAGCCGAGGATCATTAAGGGGTTCTGTGTGGTGGCAAAAAATGAAGCTCTGAAGCCGAGATGATGATCGCCGAGATGAAATTGAGTGTGTCGCTGAAGATTGGCTGATGTGGCGCAAAGAAATTAGTGCGACTTGCGCTTTTGTTGCAACTTCTTTTCATCGCGATGTTTTTCAATGTGACCCACTTTGGGTTTTCGAAGGATTCACCTGATATTTCCGTGAACACACGCGCGCTTGTGTGTACACTAAAATAGACATAAATGCGACTGCGAGAAACCGAGCCAAGAAAGGCTGGAGAGCAATTCAAATTAACCTGTGTTTGGGGAGTAACAATAAACCCGCGAGATGAGTGAATATGTTCCGTATCTCAATAAAATGATTTGTGTTGCGCGCGAGATCATAATGCATATATATATATTTGTGTTTTTTCTTTGGGCTTTTCTTGTCTTCTCAGCAAGAAACCGCCTCAAATTGGAGTGTGTGTTTCTCACAACAGAATTTCATCATGATCTCTGCGCGGCAATGAAATGATCTTGGGTGTCAATATTAGTTGAATTGAAGCACATTTTGCCGCCACGGCAGAATAAACAAACAATGTGTGTTCCCATCTCTATTTGGCTGGAGAGAGACATGACATCTGGGGGGATGTGGAAAGTGATCCTGCAGACTGTGAGTCTGCACGGAGAGCGTCGCGAAACAATGGCACATCTCACATTTCATCCGTGCCTCTCTGGCGGGCAAAATTTCAATAATTGTTATATATTTCTCCATTTTCCGGAATCGACATGCAGAATGGCTTCGTGGAGTGCAATAAGGATCAATGCCCTTCTGTCGATGACTGCTATATGCTCATAAAGAGACCACCGGGCGGCTGCTGTGCAAAGTGCAAAGGTAAGGCCTTTTTCTTCCCCTTTTCTCGCACATCCAGCTAAGAAGAAGAGCGCATGGGAAAGCTCCGCGCTCTCTCGCGGGGAAAGAGTGCCGAAGGAGGAATGCAAGAAGTCAACAATGGTGAAATAATACAATAACAGGCAAACAGAAAGACGAGAACGTGTGGTGTGGAATTTCGCTTGTTGTTTAATTGTTTCTGAATTGTTTCTTCCCCTCCTTTTCAAGTTCAATTGCCATTTTCTTCGTCTGATCGCCTCTGGTCGATAGTGAGATGAATTTTTTTTTAAATCTGCTGACCAGAAAATTGATGCGCGGTGTTTACTTCTTAAGACACAATTGCATTCTGACTCTGGGAAAATAGTTCGGTTTTGCTGTCATTGCTAAAAATGCACGTTTAATAGATTATTGAACTCTGTCTCGCTGAAATTGTTCTTCAAAATACACTCGAGCATAGAAATTTAATACATTTCTATGCAAACAATAAAATGTTCTCGTGTAAACTGTTGAGTCTGATTTCATAGAAATTTCACTCAAGAGTTGAAATAATTGTTTATTGTAATTTGAGAAAATCTATCAGTGGAATTAGTTGAAATTTTTGCTTAACAAATGTTTCAGGTATTAAAGGTATGTGAAACTTGAGTTTCATTGGAGTGTTTGAAACATTTTTTGAATCTGAAACGTTTGTGCAGCAAAGCAGTGGCGTAGTAAGAAGAGTCAATTTTTGGGAAAAATTAAGAAATATTGTGCCTAAAGTGCATTTATGACTGAAATTACACACGAAACTCTTAGAAACCATTCTCAATTTGGCATAATCGGCAAATGCAACATGCGGAATTGTGCAATTGCGGGGTGAAATGTGAATGGAGATGCAATCTCAAGGGTATTTACACTGCAATTCTTAATTGGGTCTACGATGGCGAATGAGGAGGAGACAATGCACAATCAATGCAGTGGCATCTCCACGGTGGATGCTGAGATATCTCGCGGCGTGAGATTAAAAAGACATTCAGGAGTCGCACAATTTAGCCGGTGGCGGCGGCTGGGACTCTCCCAGTGCGATTACTAGAGATCGCGAGGCGCCAATTTGAGATGCTGGAGTGGAGATATGGCGTTAATTTATGGGCGCACTTGAGGGGAGAGAGATGTGCTGTCCCAAATACAAGTAGCAATTTTCTAACCTCTCTCTCTTTGCCTCCTTCCTCACCCACAGAATGTCTGTATCGCGGCAAGACGTACGCCAGCGGCACTGAGTGGACAGATCCGGAAGATCCGTGCGCCAGCTTCAAGTGTGTTGCGGGCATCGTGACGGAATCGAACATCCAATGCTACACGCCCTGCGCCGATCCCTTCCCACCCAGACCCGGCCAGTGCTGTCCCACGTGCATCGGTGAGTATCTTCGGCCACAACTTGAGCCACTTGGCATCGCGGGTGATTCTGTGTGCGCAGCTTTTCCGCGATCTTGATCCATTGGCGAGACAATGGCGACAGTGTGTTTCTCAAGGAAAAGCCTCGGCGCTGGAGAATTTGCCATCAAACTCGGAAAAAAAGCAGCAATTTTTCCATGATATATTTATAGAAATTGAAGATCACAATCGGAAATGATGATCTTGTGGGTGGGAAGCAATTCTCTTGAAGACATTCTCTTTAATTAAATTATGTTAGTCATACGATGGAAAAGCAGAGTGGATATGATAGAGGCAATATTACTTAGCACAACTACATTTCCGGGAAAATCTTGGGGATTTGCTTGATAGAAAGAGTAAAATTTTAATGATTTCGCGCTCTTGTTTGATGATCACATTCGCATGAAAACCATTTTATGGCATCACGAGGCGATGTTTGACGCACTTTCTCTTCACGTAGGCTGCTTGCTGAATGGGCAGCGAGTGGACGAGGGCCGTGAGGTCACTCTGCGAGAGGATCCGTGTCTCAAGTGCCAATGCAGTGGGAAGCGGCTGACGTGCGTGAAGAAGGCGTGTCCGGTGCTCCAGTGTCCGGTGTCGAAGCAGATAAAGATGCCCGGCGAGTGTTGTCCGCGATGCACGGAGCGTCGGGAGAGTCTGCAAGTTTCCGGCGGCAAGTGCTTTCTGGGGAAGGGTACTCAGCCGGACAAGACGAAGTTCGAAGCCGATCCGTGCTCACCGTGCGTCTGCACGAACGGCACCAGCATCTGCAGACGAACCACGTGTCCGGTGCTGGAGTGTCCGCCGGAGATGCAGTACCAGAAGCCCGACAGCTGCTGTCCTAGTTGCCCACCACCCACCATGGAGCTGCAGTCCGTCTGCAGCCACAATGGGACTGTCTATCAGAACAACGACACCTGGGATCTCAGCCCGTGTGCCGCGTGTCGCTGCCATCACGGCACGGTGCGCTGCACGCAGACGAAGTGTCCGGAGACCAAGTGCCGACCCAATCACACCCTGGTCACACCGCCCGGGCAGTGCTGCGCCAAGTGCGAAGAGAGTAAGTCCTCAGCACGTGATTCCACAGGCTTTAGTTCTAAGACCTCCTTTCTGTCTCGCAGCCGCTGGCATTTGCACCGTCTTCGGCGATCCGCACTACAAGACCTTCGACGGGAAGTTCTTCAGCTTCCAGGGATCGTGCAAGTATCAGCTCACGGCGGACTGTGCACATCACACCTTCTCCATCCGCGTGACGAACGATGCGCGCGGCACACGATTCTCCTCGTGGACAAAGACCGTGACGCTGAAGATGGGCGAGACGAAGGTGAATCTGGGCCAGAAGATGCGCGTGAAAGTGAATGGGACGCGCGTGAAGCCACCCTATCGGGTCCAGGATGTGCTCAGCGTCAACATGACGGAAGACGGAGTGGTCGTGGACACGGCGCTCGGCATTCGATTGCTGTGGGATGGCGCCAATTACCTTCAGGTGAGAGTGAAGATTCGATTCTAGGGACTTCTTGTAAAACATCCCCGTGCTTCCGTTGCAGGTTCAGGCGGCTGTGAAGTTCAAGGGCCGCTTGTGCGGCCTCTGTGGCAACTACAACGGCGTGTCACGGGACGACCTCAAGGGGCGCCCTGGCACCAACATTAGCGACGACAAGGTGTGGCGCATCGCGAACTCGTGGCGCGTGGGCGGCCGCAAAGCGTGCGGCCGGCAGGGAGAGAAAGGACGGCGGGGCAACATGAATCGCGGCCGGCGGCGCTGGGGCATGTGCCGTGAATTGCGCGATAACTCGCGCGTGTTCGGCAGCTGCGTGAGCCACCTGAATCCGTCCAACTACTACGATTCGTGTCGCCAGGACATGTCCGAGTGCCCGACGGAGCAGTGCTACTGCGACAGCTTCACGGCGTACGCGCACGAGTGCGGCCGCCTGGGCGTGGAGCCGCCCAACTGGCGTCACGAGGCCAACTGCATGCGCCAGGACTTCCGCAGTGTCAATGCCAAACCGCTACCACCGCAGGAGCTAGAGCTCATCCAAAGACACACGAAGCGCACAAGAAAGCCCCACAGTCAGGAAGAGAAGCTGCGCAAGCATATTCCCAAAGGTGTCCGCGCGAACCAGCACAGAAGCGCGAGCGTGGCGAACCTGCCAATTGATTGAAGCCACCGCGGATCGTGCGATCTCACGCGGATTCTGGCCAAGTGTCCCGGAGGAGCGATCCAAGAATCGGACCAAAAATTTCACCCTCTGTAATTTTAAGTTGCCTTTTCTACATGATAATAACAAGATGTTCTCTAGCGCTCACGCCTTTCACGCCCGCCGCACACGCGGTTTCGGGCAGTGGAGAGTGTGGAAATGTGGGCGAATTACCCAAACTTCGAAATAACTAAAGGAAGAAGAGAGTGAAGAAGAGCACCTATCTTAAGCATATTGTGAGAATACGTTAGGGTATATTATTTAAAAAAAAACAAGAAAGAAAGAGAAGAGGATTTAGAGATACAAAATGCAGACTTATGTGTTACTTAATTTATACAGAGACGCGTAGAGTTTTAACTAAAATAGCATTATAGCGACAAAAAATGAACACAATACAGAAAAGTATTCAAAGTTAATGATAGGAAATTGGGGGGGAAAATGGGAGGATATTGGAGGAGTGGTTGATACAGAAACATTTAAGCTTTTAATTGAAAAAAAAGCCTCGATTCTCAGAAAAAAAAACTTCACTGCAAGAATTTTTAATTTAATATTTAAATTAAAATATTTTTATCTCTCTGAAAAATTTCCAATCTTTCACGCTTAATCCCAGAATCTATCGCGAGAGAAAGAAAGAAGAAGAAGAAAAAATCCCGATCCATGCAAGAAATGCAGAAACATCACTGGATTTAAGGACGTTTTTAGGCTATTATAAAAAAACATACGATTTATTTTGAGGAAAACTTGCATGTCTAAGTGTTATTTTAACAAAGATTTTACAGAAAGAAATACTTCTTGCCTGGGTCTGTAAGAACATTGAATGTAAATCAAGTGTTTGGAAGTGTTGCAAAAGTTATTTAGGCATATAATATAGTCGTGATTGATAGTAAAAGAAGAAAAAAAAACAAGAATATAATCAAAATTATATACAGAAATTACGCAAATGATAAAATATAAGGAAGCAGACTTGGCAATTAAAAATGACAATGAAATTTGATAAAGAGTTGATGCGAATCTTATTAGGAAATATTGAATATTATACAAATGAATAAATAAATTTTAGGAAAAAAAGAACTGCTAAGGTTGATCAGAATGTTAATAATAATATTAATATGTAAATTTCTTTGTCATGTGATTTCTTTCTTTCTTTCCATCCATCAAATAAGTTTTCCCAAAAACAAAAAAAGTTGAATGCAAATTAGTTGTGAGTTCGTAAATTGTAGAGAAGAAGAAAAAAATTCGAAAATTAACCTTTCTATTTATTTTTATTATTTAAATAAAATTATTTTACTATATAAGTTTTTTACTTATAATATCATATTTTTTCCTATTAATTTAACAAGAGTTTTTTTTAGCAATTTTTCACTCATGTTCATTTCGCCATTGTATTTTCTTTTTTTCTTTGTAATGTATTCACCGAAGGGCTTTTTATAGAAACATTTTTAATTTTTCAATTTATGAAACAGAATTCAGTAGAAAAATAAAACAGAAAACAAATATTTATGTATCATCTTACATTTATACTTTTTTATCTCTACAAATTGTATATCTTTGTGTACTTCACATACATTTCTTTTTTTTACAAAAAAAAAAATTGTCAAAAATAGGAAACGTTTCAACAGAAAAGTACGGAAAATAAAAACATTGAATAACTGTTGCTTGAGAAATGTAATTGTTTTCTTTTATTTCTATTTTTCTCTATTTGATCCCACTGAGTTTTTCTTTTATATCCTATCAATCGACTGACTGGGTTTTCTTCTTTTCTTTTTAAACTTTTGGATATGTTTCCTAACCGAGTTCTGACATTTGTTCTTCGCTCCTTAAAGCATTCTTTTTCTTTTATAGTAATTGATGGGGTTTTTCCTATGGATTTTTACGGGTAGTGAAAGCCAAAAAATGTTGGAAAGAAAAGAAAAAATCTTAGACTACAATTGTTGGTTCATTTCTTCACTGATATGGAATTCTTCATTTTCTGTATACTTTGAGTTTAGAGAGCCTATTTTTTTCTTCACTTTTCGATTCGTTCGCATCGAATAAGAAATTTTAAGCTAAATTGCTGCTAATTTTAAAGCTTTCTCCATTTTGTTATTCCTTTTTTTATACAAGATTTCAAAGAATTTTAATTTCACTGGGGATTTTCTCTTTTAGAGTTTTTTTTTAAATGTTTAATGGAGAGGAAAAAACGAAGAACTTAAAGTTAAATTCAAAATGTGGCACCTTTAAGACTGAGAATACCAACAATATAATATTAATTCTTGTCTCAGTTGAATTCTTCAGGTGAGATCAAGAATCTAAGACACGAAAAAAGCTATTATTTTCCATTATTCTTTACATTAATTTCTTTTTTCTCTTCATTTTACCAATATTTTCTATCTTAAATCGCTAGATTAGTTGTTTAAGTGACTTTTTTTTCTTTAATTTTTTAATACATTTGTCGCTTGATAGAGAACATTTTTTGAATTTTTTGTCTATGCTTTTTTTTTTGTTGTTTATAAGAATACAATATCAGATAATATTTTCCCTAAAATATTCTACTTCTTTTAATACTTTTTATATCTTCAATTTTTTTCTTCTCAAAGATCTTTTGGTTTACTTTCCTTTTTAAATGTTAACTGCTACTGTGGTGTTTCCGAAGCAAATTTATTGTTTGTTCAATAATCCATTTGCTCTTTAGACACTAAAGAAAATCATTTTGAACATAAAATCCATGAATAACAATAATTAGAGATTCCATAGTTTTCTATATACTTTTCTTTTTTTTGATATCATTGAAACACCTTCAATAAAATACACTTTTTTCACAGAAACTTTTCATCTTCTTCTCAATATGGCCTACATTTAGTGAATAATATTCCTATAATGACTAGAGACACTTCATATTATGTTAAATAATTTTAAATGCTATTTTTTCACTCATTCAATACTTTACAGTTTTGTTTTCTTTATCTTTCTCTAAATACAGTTTTATTGAGGAAGCTTTTAACCAGATCAATGTACTTTTTATACAATTGGTGAACAATTCCACTCAATAGTTGTTTTTGAAACGTCAAAGAATAAGAGTATTCTTGTAGCGAGTTCTACCCTAAAAGAACCTAAGTCTAATCAGTTGTTTTGTACACTTTGTCACAATCAGTTTTGAATTTACACAACATTTAACAGGTTTGTCTTTAAGAAGCTGAAAAATCCTTTGCCTTTCTCCGACCGTGGCGCCATCAGCATGGGAACTTGGTTCTTGTGTGTGATTTGAATCTGTGCGGGAGAATGCAAACGGTTAAACGGTGGGAATTCTGTGTTTCTCAGAGACTTACCCGACTTGGGCCCTGCATCCACGGCTCCCCGTCGATTTGCATGGGAAATGTCTTCTTCGTCACGATAATCACTTCACTGCATTGCGCCAGTCGACGTCCGGACGCTCTCAAGCCCGTTCTCACCTGTCCCATGTGCAGACAATTCTCCAGTCCGATCACCTCGATTCGGTGGTCGCCGATGTCCTGAATGGCCACAGAGAGATCCACTGAGTTGAAGCTGGTCGTGGAGAGATCCTTGTCGCTGCTTCTGAACTTCCTGGCCGAGCGAAAGGGTCCGTTCTTGCGGATCCTCTTCTGCGACAGATGTTCGCCCCACAGATTGCTGCCGCCGTGAGTGTAGGGGATGTTAAGCAGGGCTATTCCCTGCAGATGTGGTCCATTGGCCAGATCCAGAGAGACTCCATCACACTAGAAACACCGCAAAGACATCTTCCCTAAAGAACACCCCGTGGAATCTTAGTAGCCAAGCAACTTACCACAATCTCCAGGTTTTCATGCAGATTCTTGCACGATGCGGCGAAGGTTTCCGACGTGGCGTACTCAAAGTACCAGAGCTTGTTCTTCATGCGACTGTTGAACTTGTGCGGATTCCGCTCGCGCTCCAGATGGAACTTCACGCAGATGGCGGCGTCCACGCCCACGGAGAAGTAGTTGTTGATGATGTTGTAGGGCACGGCGAAGTCCTGCTCAGATTGCGGCTTCAGAGGACGCGGTGGGGCGGGCAGGGAGGTCTCCTGGCGGTCAGGAGCGCTGGAAGGGCGCGTGAGCAGCAGATCACCCTCGCTGATGCTCTTCACCACGCGTCCCACGGACGTGTCGGGCATGGAGAGGCAGTTATTGGTCCCATTGGCGGTGTCCTGGACGCTCACCTGCGACGCATCGCTGTCCCGCGAGGAGGAGGACGTGAACTCGGTGAGCTTCTCCATGGTGGTGGACGACGAGGAGGTCTTCACCCGCCCACCCACCGTGGTCACTTCGGTGGTGTTCCGGCGAATCTCTTCGTACGTCTGTATCACAGATTTCTCCACAATGATCCGCTGCGACAGCTCCACGACGCGCTGCACATTCTCCGACAAAGTCACCTGCAAAGGACACGACAGGGAGTCGCCATTAGTTGAGGCGTGAGTTCGGCGGAAGTGTGGGACGTTTGTCAATTGACCTGGAGTACCTTAGGCTTCGGCAATTCTGCCGGCTCCGTGTTAGTCACCTGAATACTCCATCGATCCAGCATCACCGTGTTCGCCCGCGATATCCTGTCCATGAGCTTGGGAATGCTCTCACCCTCGTAACCGCCACCCCAGCGCAGGCAACGCGCCAAATCATTGCCTATCGGAAACAGAATCACACATCATTTCCCTGGCAATCCAATCCAGCCCTTCACACCCCACTTTTCACCCCACACTTTTCCATTCAATTCCAGTCCGCCATCCGGGACAAATTGCACTTCAATGCGCGATTGCAATTTGAATTGGACGAATTGTGAGTAATTAAAAAATCACAATACTATGCAAATTACAGATAAGACTGCTGCAATATCACACTGACTTAGTTGACTTAATAATAATCCAATTTCAATGGCTGTCATCGCTGTCATTATGGTAATTATGATGCAATTATACTGCTTTTTGTCCGAAGATTTAGATGCAAAGTCATATGAATTACTGCATTATAATTGTCTGGGTGGATTTGTTAATGCGCACATATATTCTGTGGCTCTATTCGCTAAAAGGACATATTTTATTTTAATCAATGTCGCTGACAGGCTTTTATACGTAACTATTCAGAGAAAATTCCTCTTAATTATTGCTACTTTTCCGGCTATTTAATTTTCTGCACTCGTGAATTCTCTCTGAATATTTAATCAAATTTTCTATTTGTTAAATATCCTTTATAATTCACATTCAAATCGTCATTCTAATGCGCGCAATGCAAACAAAAAATTATGCGGAAATATTTTATATGAAATCTCCTTTTGAAAATCATTTAATTTCAACACAAATAAAATGTGAATTTCCGCATAAAACAAGTGTGATTTAACAAGCTTATCAATATCGTCACGTGGATAAATGTGAAAAATCCCCAAATCTCCTATATAAATACATGAAATTTGAACAGCTTCGCAATTCACAATCAACGCAAAGCAAATTGGGCAAATGTTGGAAGAATAAAAGCCTAAATAAAATCGCATTTATGATTGAATTGCAGAAGGTTTTAAAGCGAATGCATGCGCTGAAATCTCTGGTGGAATATCGAGAGTATCCATTGAGCTCTGCTGAATATTTGACGCGATGAATAATGCATGGGTATTTGGGACGTTCAGTGCAGGATTTATTGATTTGGCGAATGATGGATGCCACATACCTGTCCCCAGAGGAATAACTCCGACAGCCGGTTGCACTTGGAGGTCCACAGAGTCTGAAAGATGAGCGAGAGATGTGTGGGTGAAGTGCTGAGGGGCAGCGGAAGCGGCTGAGAACTCACCCATGGCCTCCAGGACCCAGCCCACTGTGCCGTCGCCGCCGCAGCAGATGACTTTGAAGTTGGGCACGTCCTTGAAGAGGGCCAGGCCCTCCATCGGCCCACCCTTGGACAGATCGTACACCTGGCGCGGGTTGAGCATGTACTGGAACTTACGGAGGATGCGGTGGCCCTGGCGGCCGCCGCTCTTGGGATTTACGAAGACCAGCAGCGGACAGATGTTGGACTCCGACGTGATCTGGAAGTGCATGGGAGCCGGCGTGGGCGTCTTGCCCTTCATCGTGGCCACGTTGACGGAGCGCTGGCGGTCCAGGACGGCCGGACAGATGGCCGTGGGTGGAATGATGAGGTTGGCGAACTCGCCCAGGTTGCACTCGGCCTTCACGGACGCGGCGCACCTATTGTGGATCATCATGTGGCACCAGCGACACGTGAGGCCGCTGATGCCGTGGTAGGACTTGATGCGCTTCCGGCACTTGGAGCAGCGCCCGTAGCAGTTGCCCTCCGTCCAGTGGTGCAGCAGCACCCCGCCGCCCTTCGGCTTCTTCGACTTCACGTATGTGTTGATGCAGGAGGCGGGGGCGCGCTGGACGCAGCGCTCGTGGACGGTATATTTGCACACTGCAAGAGAGGATAAAGTGCTCTGGGTGGACGCGCGCGACATGATTGAGTGGGCGAGCAAACACTCACGTGTGCAGCAGAGTCCCTTCTTGCCGAGACCCACCAGCATGTTGAGGCACAGGTTACAATAGGCCGGGCGACTGAAGTGCTTCAGGCGCCACACATGGATCCCATCCTCCTTCAGCGTGTTGTCCACGCCGAGCAACACCAGCAGGGGTATTGTGGTGAGTCCTCCGCGCTGCCACTCCTCCAGCGACACCGTCCCATCGGCGTCATAATCGATTTCCGTCATCATGTCTTGCAGAATCTACACGGCGGCCGCATTCAGCGTGGGCCAACAATGCCACAGCCAGGAGAGGAGAATTTCACGTTAATCAAATACACCACTTTCCGCACGGACTCATGGGAGAATTAATTGGGGGAATTTCAAGTGCGACAATCGATTTCCTGAAGGACTGGAAAACACCTTTAATGAGAATGCACTCGATTTTTGTCATTTCAAAAGTGATTTTCATAATCAGCAGAGTTTATAACCGAACACAAGGGGAAGATAATTATTAGACTTCATGGATTGTTTATAACAAGACTAAAGTCAATTAATGACTGAAATCTAACCAAAAACTAACTGAAATCTAACTGACAACTTTAAAACTCACGTTTTCATGCAATATTTTATGATTTTCTTTGCACTTTTGCGTATTTTTCTTCATTATAATCCTTTGATTAATTTTCTCTTCATTGCAAACTCAAAATGACAACTGTTTATTAAAAAATATTGAGGTTATGTTTGATTTGAGTATTTTTTTCTCAAAATCACGATTTTCATTGAGTAAAAATTTGCAATTCTAATAAAAAAGTGAAAATACTTTCAATTTAGGCGCAAGAATTTCTACTTTAAGTTGTTATTCAATTTTAAATTAATCACATAACCTAAAAAATATATCTCAAAGTTAAGACTTTGTTGAAAATTAATTTCTGAGAGTAAAATAATCAACAGAAAATCAAAACTGTGAGTTAAACATTGCATATATTGAAACACTTCAACTTCCTAAATACTTCTACTGAGTTGTACACCACTTCAGACCATATTATCTTCCCCTTGACAGAATATTCAACAATGCACGAGGTTAATTGATAGATAAAGTGCGAAAAGTAATAGTTTTTCATTAGATACTTAATAAATTGGGTTGAAATGAATGAAATGAATGCCATATAAATGACGTTCTCAAATATTCACAGCGATATCTCAACTCAGAGTCGAGAGACCGAAGCGAAAAGTTCATTTATTTTTGACGAATGATGCTTCCGGACAATGGAAAAACAGGGGGAAAATGCATCGCAACGGTGCGGAAAAATGGAAATTGGAAATATTCGCCGATGAATCTCCGTCAATGCTCTCTTCAGACATACCGGCCTCAATTCCGAGACATCCCAGCCAATGTATTCCGCCACGGACATCATCTGATTGACAATGGCATCGAGCTCCGTGGTGTCCAGCACGCCATTCCCATCGGTGTCATACAGGCGGAACATGACTGTGAAATGTCGGAGAAAAATGCTGTTAGACATTCACGCCCATTCCGCCCAGGCTCGTGCGGGGGTGGCGGGGCGAAATTGCTTACATTCCAATTTGTCCTCGGGCCTTCCGGCTTCCAGGAGGGATAAGTAGCACACGACATCCTTGAGCGGTACCTTGAGCTGGAGCGGATCAAAGAAGGAAGGCTTCCTCGACATTAGGCGAATGTCTGCAAAAGGGTGAAACTCTTAAATTTCAATCATCCACAAATCAACGGTGTGAGATTGCATTTCAAGGGGTCGGAGTTTGATGCTTAAAGGGTTGGAAATGGAACACATATTTTGGAGAGCCACAAGATTTCCAGGATTGCGGTTTGAGAAGTGAAATCGCTGTAAAACTCCAGAACACAATTCTCGAATTTTATGAGGGAAGAAATTTCACAGTAAAATTCTATATTTCGCGAACTTGACTTAATTTCATCTGATTTAACTCAATGAAAGCCAGTCGATGTTTCGCTATTCCAACAGGAAAATACGCTATATTCATATATATAATGTGTTCTGCATTATCGTGTGATGAAACTTTTCCATTCTGAGTTTGACTGATTAAATTATCTTCCCGGGAATTTTTTAATATTAATTTTGCAAAACATATAAAATGCGAATGTGAATAAATAATGAATTCCTGTGTTAATATTTAAAAATATTTCACAGAAAAAAAAATCCGAATATAATAGACTTTTCTGGCATCTCCAACTTTTCCTCTCGCACTGCATGAATTAGGAGGAAAAAACATCCTCAGCAATAGTAAATTGGACTAAATTGACAATAATCCGCCATTGTGAATTCCCGAAATTCCTCCTTCTTCTTCTTGTCTTCCAAAGAATTTCACCCCCGGAAAGTGCGAAGTGTTTTTGGGTTTGGGGCGCGGCGGAGTTTTCACAAGTGCGTAATGAAATTTTCTGACATTCCGGGTGCGGATGAAGTTAAATGATTGTCCCCATCAGGGATGGAGTGTGTCTGTGGCGGCGGGAAGTTCTTCTCCTCATGGCGAGTGATTAAAGCGTATTACAGGAAATTACCGTCTAATTTGCAATTGACGGAGTTATTGCTCTTCCTCGAAGAGTTGCGCGATATTTGGGAGTGACTGTGGCTGTGACTGTGCGATGGGCTCGAATCCGCTGAACGTCTCGGAGGCGGTAATCCTCCTAATGGGCTCGGCGTCACTGTCACCAGCGGATGAACCGATCCTGCAAGGCAGAGAGGCATTCCATTTAATTCCTTTGCCTTTCCTCCACGCACCCAAATGCGACTCAAGCGCCCTAAGTGAGGCGCCCCTCGCGAGGGGCAGCGCAGCGCCCGAGAGACAGGACAAGAGACACCCTCAATCAACTTGATCGATGGGACAGAGACGACAGATAAAATGTTTGACTTTGAGGTTCTTCTGCTGATGCCATTTCCCCGCCTTCGCGCCCGGGAGTTTTGCCAGAAAAATGACGAAATTTTTCTTTTGGCAAATGGGAGAAAAACATCTTCGGCACACAAGAATGCTCTCAACACACTTCCAGGAAATTTCATTTCACTTTCTCTCCCATATATTGAGAATTATTCACACTATTGACTTTTGAAAAAGATTATAGCGCTTTGGCTGAGTGTGAACTTTTTCTGCTTTTCTCCTTTAGAATACTTTCGCACGTCGATTTGAGAGTGTTTTGTGTGCTTTTATTGAAGGAATTTTATTGGTTCGACGTTAAAGAGGTTAAATACACATATTGAATTGTTAGAAAATCAATATTGTTTTGATAAAATTCCAATTATACCGAGAGAAATTGTGTGAATTGAAAATGCAGCATCTCTTCGCTTGCTATCAGATGAAGAGATCGAGAAATTGAGCACAAGGTGAATTTTCTACACGGATTTAGAGGCTTAAATGATTCACTGTTTGATTAGGTTATTTCCTCTGGAATAGGAAAATTCATACAAAAAGCCCAATCTTTGCAGAGGCTTTAAAACTCAAAGTGTTTATCCGTAATTTTGGTGTGTGTTTATTCAAAGGATTTATGAATTTTTCAGGATCTTCATGTGAAACTTGATGTCAGCTGTAATTTCTTTTAATTTCAGCCTTCTAATATGAATGAAGCGGAGTTTTGAAGAAACCTTAATTGCTCTGTTGATTGGTCGATTAAGTGGAATGTCTAAAAATTCACTAAACAATGCGAAATTGTACAAGAATTCCATTCAATTTAGGGACTTTTCCCTCCCAAAAGCGCATCAATTAACGCCTTTCTCCCCTCCCAACGTGCATTTCGGGGGGGGAAAATGATGGATTGGAAAGTGGTGGAATTGAGATTGAGGGCAGAATAAATAGCGCGGGAGATTTTGGGCGCCACTGTTGAGCGCATATGAAAGTCACTAAAATGGGCGAATAAATAAGAAAATTGAGTGTGTCAAGAGGGCGGGAAAGGAACCCTCGAAACACTCAAAATTCACCCCGGCTCTCAAATTAATTACCCCGAATGTCTCTCGAGCGTGGGAGAAATTGGACACCTTCGGCGACGTTTGGGGTGTGAGGGCAGAAGAGTGTTCAGTTCCATGGTCAAATAATGATTGTGTGTGTTTGGTGGATAATTGATTTCCGTTTAGGCGCTCTTCTTGGGTGTGTTTCAGACAAATTTAATTGGCCGTAATTGAGTTCAAGCAGAGGAAGGACTATAAATTTTCAAAGTCATCAACACGGATTTTCCTTTTTCCCAAATTTATTATCATACAAATTTCACTTTGGGGACTTTTATTGTCTCCCCCTCAAGATTCTCTTTTTCTTGAGTTTGCTCAGGAAGAACACATAGGATATCTCATCATTGCTCATGGGAAAATTTCATTAAAGTTATCAGAAGGAATTCTCCGACCATCGCAAAGTTTGAGAATTTCCCGTGAAAAGTGAAATTGAAGAGAAATTCCATAAGCCCGGATCATAGAGTATTATCACATTCTCAATTTCACAAAACATTCCTCTCATTTCCATGAAATTTTCTCTATGCACTGCAATTTTTATTAATATATGTATCTTCAGCTATCAACAAATCTCTCTGCAGAATCCGAAATGACTTCAAACAGGATTCTCTAACTGCTGCCTCTCCTTAAAGTTCGCCAACTGAAGCATTTCACGAATGCCGGGGCGAATGTGAGCCTGAAACATAACTCCATAATGTCTACAGCAGCGTGACTCACCAGTTTTATTCTTATCCAGGGTGGAATCATGTTGAGTTTGCCCGAGATGACTCAGCGATTGCAATTTGTCCGTCAGACCGTGGATCTTGTCAACGAAACTCTGCCGAGGCTCGAGTGAGACGTTGGGCGGCAGCTCCACGATGCTATTCAAATTGGGAATGGAGCCTGGGCGAAAGTGGGAGGCACTCGTGAGTCTTCAATTCAGATCACAAACGCGCCCAAACCGCGCTCATACCTTTTGTGTGTGACGTGACAGGAGCACAGGCGGCATTGCTGCTGATGGCCGCCATCTGACTGAGTGCCTTTCCCTGAACTTGAGCCAGGTTGATGGCCGGCTTGACAAAGGACACAAAGAGGTGCTTGGACAACTCTTCCGGTGTCTCGCAATCGAGAAATGCGTCCAAGAAGCTGCGAAAGCCATCGTAGTCGATGTCCTGAGAGGAAGAAAAGGAGAGAGAAAAAAGGTGAAGGTTGATGAGCAAAAAATTAAAATTAACTTGAATTAGAGGCAATTTCCATCACCCAGACTTTCATTAATTAGTTTTGCGAGGAAAAATCGTCTCTGTGTGGATTTCATCCGTTGCGCCGTTTGAATTCCACCCTGAGAATTTCCTCCCGGTCAAAGAGAAAACTTTTTCCACAACTTTTTCCCCCCCCTGAACTGCCTTCCTGTGAATGGGACGCTTTCAAATCCAATTTCTTGAGCCATTTTCATGGTGTTTTGTGTGTGAAAGGAAGTGAATGCTCGAATTAAATTGAGAATGTCTGAAGAAGGGACATAAGCTGATAAATTGGCAACAGAAGTCTTGATAGTCACTTTCTCTCTGAACTGTTTGCAAAATTTTCTTTTTTCAATCACTTGCTGAGAATCATTTGTCAACTGGCAAATTGTACTTTCTGCATCATCCGAAGGCTTTCCAATAAAGCTTCTGCTTGTCAACGATGTACTTAGTTGTGCCTTGTGGGCAAGCAAATATTTTGATGTTGACTCCTCGAGAGCGCAATATTTGGCAAATTTCAAGGAGTGACGCAAGCTTGAGCTCGAGCTTCTCGAGGTATTAAGCCGAAATTCTCCAGAATTGCCCTGTGACGGTTAATGAGGTTAAAGAGGGCGGCCGAGAAGGGTTGGCAAAATACTCCTTCACCGGCGATGACGCATTTATGGACAACTATCAAATAACAAACGTCGTCACCCGAGAGTCGAGGGAATGGCCACCCTCCTGCAATATACATAATGTGTGGTGGATATTTGAAGAACACTCTCGGCGGTTGGTTTCCTCTTTGTCGCAAATAATTGAGTTCTGTGGCAAATTGGTGCCAAAAATATGTTTAGTCTCCGCATATCGCGACACTTTGATACGCCACGGGTGGGCGTGGGGGTGATTTGGGGGCAGTTTCTTCACATTGTCTCCCCATTTGGAGTCGGCCTATTAGAGAGGGTGTGTTTGGTGGTGAAATTCTTGCTGATTCCAGCCAAAATAGGACACCCGATGTCACTGCGACCATCGCGACGATTCACAATCTATCTTATTCCAGGACACTTGAGTGGCGCATTTTCTTACACTCTCTCGCTGCCCTTTTACTTTACGACACAATAAAACTTTGTGCATTTCCCCCCGAAAGTCCCTCGTGAGAGTGTCACGGGGAGTCTGCAGAAATTGCACATTCAGACATCGAACTCCATTTAGCTTGGATTTTTTATGAGACGAAGATAAAGAATCCCACGAGTGGCATTGAAGGACATAAAAGCCAGTGATAAGCTACGATGAGTGGATAAGGACAAAGACATACAATTACTCTTCTGTCTCAAGTGCACTTGCTTTCTCCGCTCTTTCCACCCACCCAAAACGCCACCCCAAGGAGCCACCCGAGCTGCTCAAACACTCACTCACCTTCCCTCGAGCGTCTCCTGCAGGTGTCCAAATATATTATCGTCAAGTCAATTAAAATTATACGACATCCCTTTGGATATATTTCTGCTTTGAAGTATAAATTGGATAAGTTATTAATACACCACCCTTTCACCCTTCCGCCCACTTTGCGCATCGTCTTTGTGAACTTTGACGGAGAATTTTCTTTAAACAGAAATATCCTCTTACACCTCTTCCATCATTGCGAAAAATAACAACCACTACTTTGGGGGCGAGTGGGAGAATGGGGTGTAATAAAACTTAAGGGTGTGATATGAATTCAAAGTTATCATTAACATCCCTCAACTCGATGTACTAACGAGATAAGTGGAGAAGTGCCTCTTATCGGCATTTTCCTGAAAGATAGGGTGGAAAAGTGAAGGTGAAAGCACAGCTATCATGAAGAGGGTTTCGCAAATTGCTCGCCTGCCTCATTGGAAGAGAGGCTCAGATGACCTTCAGGTGACTTTTAATTGCCAAAAGCTCCGAACACGGGAAAACCTCCAGCCTTATCTCATTACGTTGGGGTAAAAATAAATCCTCAATAGACTCTTTAAATCCCACAAATTACATTAAATATCTAATATTTCACCGATCTTTAAATATTATAATAATCCAAAGGGTAGATTTTATGGTTTGAAGCGGTGGAAAACCGCACAGGAGTGTTAAGAATTAAGCTTTTGCATTTGATTTTCAAAAGAAAATCAATTTTATTGCTTTTCTAGTTTATGTGATCGATTTAAGACAAATTGTGATGATTATATAACCCTCAAAATCATAAAATTTGTGTTAAAACTGGGAATAATTCGCTTTTTCTCTGCAGAATTGAGCATTTGTGTGCAAAAATCTTCAAATTAGTTTTATTTCAATGATTAAAAACAGCTTAAAAGTCAATCATAACCTCAAAAATGTAATTTCAGGCAAAAATCGTCTCTTTGTTTAGTCTTTCAACTTCATTATCAAGTAGAAAAATTATGATATTCGCTATATTTAAGCATTTGAAGGTTCGAAAGAATTAAAATTAGTCCAAGAGGAATTTTTAAGTCGGATTTCTAACCTCACAATTTGGTCAGAAGTCTTTTGAAGCATTTTCCGTAGACAAAACTAGAAAATCCAGACAGAAATGGTTGATGAGCAACTCGTGAGACACTAAGATCAGTTCTCTCAATATGAAATCTAAGTATTTGAAGTGTGTAAACGTCTTTTGTTTGATTGTGAAAAGACTGAAATGAGTGTCTAAAAAGCGATGAAAAATTCCTTTTTAATGCGCTAAGAAGTGTCTGAGCAGGCATATTAGCTGGAAATATCTAGAAATATTCGTTTTCAGCTGTCTCTGCATGAGCGCGCATTTTCTCCAGGATTTATTATTCAGAATTCATCACATGAGATATGGATGTACATTAGACATGTAATATGCGAAGTGAAATGACCAGTGTGCACGTAGCTTCCGATTTCATTCTGCATATTCAGCAGCAGAGCACGAATGCATGTATTATTAGTTTGCTAGTCATAAATATCGGAAAATTGCATTATATTTGATGCGACAGGCTCACAAACGAGCCACCTTTGATATGCAAATAAACAGTGCTGGCTTTTCGCAACTCGCAGCGCTGTCTCACGAAGCTCAATGGCATCAAAGCTCTTGTCAAGCGCCTCCTGTTTGGCTTGAAACCCCCTCGAGAGAGTGAGCGAGTTGGAGCGCACTTTAATTCATCTGCCTGGGAGCATTTTGTTTTCATTCACATCAAACTAAAATGTCCCAATGGGTATTCACAACACGATTACTATTGTCAAGCGTTAAAGAGATAGTGGATAAGAACAAAAGGACGACGAGTGTTGCGGCGCGAGCAAGAGGGAGAGAGAGAGAGACTAAATGGATGCTTAGGGTGTCATTTAATAAATTCCCTTTTCTCATGTGCCATTTTTCTCCTCCTTGGCATTACGTGCGGTGCATAATCTTATCCAGAAAGATCTCTCGCACTGCTTCTCGAGAGCACCCGAGAGACATAGACAAATATTTTGATTTTATATACACACGAGCAGTACAACACTGTGGCATTCTTTATCATTTGCCATCCAGGGCTTATCATCTTGCCCAGAGGATTTGAAGAATCGCAAGCACGGAGAATAACGTGTAATTGTGGAAAACGATGCAATTTGCCAAACTTCAGATAAGTGCTTTGGATATATATAGAGTTTGCAGAGCAAGATAAGTAAATAAAATATGATAAAACATCATTCTGTGGCGTAATTCAATGACTTTACATTGTTTGGGTGTGAGGGAGAAAGAATGGCAATTGCGTCAAATTTCCATTGAGCAAGATTAAAATACGTCTGCCCACGAGAAAAGCGCTCCCCGCCCTAATAGTGTTTTCTGACAATATATCCCATGAATGAGCCTCTCAAGGAATCACCAAATATTTGCATGAACTTTCCTCGTCTCTCACTTAACAGAGGCCATTGTTGACGAGGAGGCACGTCATTTGGCAATCTCGATAGGCAATGACGACAGGGAATCGATTTTCCGCTATTAAAAAGTCTCACAAGGAAACTTCCTTCCCATTACCACTAAATGGATAGTGGGGGAGGCGCGCGCGATGAGATTTTCTTCTTCACCCACATCGCAATTGACATTCACGCCACGTTCGTCTGAGGAACTCATCTTGATACAGATGATCTGAGCGGGCGATTCAAAGATTGCGCTGAACAAGTGGAGCCCCTCAAACCTCGGGGTGAGAATCAACCCTCTGACCTCAAGCACTCTCCGGCCTCTGAAGTGGCATTTCGGCGGGGTCATGGGAATCAGGCCGTGCCGAAGGGGAAAGCGCACTTGCGAGCGTGACGGCTCGGCGGTGACGTCAGCCGCACAGCCGCCCCGCCAGGTGTGACGTCATTCGTTGCTATAGTGAGTCGTCGTTCTGCCAGCGGTGACGTCACGCGGCGCGGCATCGACTTTGGCGCATCAGCCTCGGCGGGGAGTTCACAGAAGGGCAAAAGGTGGTGAGGAAAGTTTGTACACCGCAATAATTAATAGACTGATTCCTATCACAACTTGACGGACAGTCGCCGATAAGGATAAGCACGTCGCTTTTTTTCTCTCTCCTTCGCCCCGAATCAACCTCACGTGCGTGGAAGCGTGAGCAGATAAATCCTCCCGTCTTCGGTCAATATGACTGGGTTTTTAATCCCGGGAAATATTTAATTGGATTAATGGATTATCCCGTGCAGAGGCTCAAAAGGCCCCACAAACAGATCCAATTCGAGCATCGATTCGGAGGCACTTCAGCAGAGCCTAAAAACTGCCACAACGTGAATGCGAAGCGATATATCAGATGATTTTTGGGTGAGATAAAAAAAACCCCGACAACTCAATCATAACTTTTCCATTTGACTGATTTGCCAAAGAAATCCACATCATTAGTTCTCGTGTGTGTGTCTGCTATCAATCTCATTCATATCGATATTATTCGTGTTCTCCACGCCTTGCTCAGCTTTCTCAGCATCTCTATTTGGCATCTCCCAGACCATAAATTCGGGCACATTCAACATTATTAACATATTGACTAAAGCTCTTCGGGGGTGAATGCGCTCTGTGGATTTTTCACAAGGGGGAGATAATATGCATTAAACCACTTAAAGACACTGCAACAGAATCTGTGTAGAATCCTTTAACACTTCAGACACTTCTTAACGCCTTAAAATGCATTTTCTATCGCTTTTCAGCCTCCTTCAACTATTTCTTATCGTTTTTCAAGCGGTTTTAAGCTCTTCAAATGCTTCGATATCAGATGGTCTCAGGGCTTGTTCATGAGCAATTCCTGTCTTTATTTCCTAGTTTCATCTTCGGAAAATGCTTAGAAAGATTCTGACCAAATTGTGAGGTTATGAATTTGACTTAAAAATCTAAGCAAAGAAATGTTCTTTAGACTGAAGACATATTTTTGAGGTTATGGTGGACTTTTAGGCTTTTTCTCAACCAATATGAAGTTATTTTGAACACAAATGCTGAAATCTGCTAAGAACAAGAGAAATATTTCCAGTTTAAACACAAATTTGATGATTTTGAGTGTTTTTTAATCACAAGAATATATTTTTAACTAACCAAATAACTTTGAAAAGCAATAAAATTGATTTTTTTCTCTAAGCAAAATCATTCAGAAGATGTCCTTATTTGCTGAAACAGAAGCTTTTGCTATGCAAATGCTAAAAACTTCCTCAAATGCTGTACACCACTTCCGATTATAATATCTGCCCCTTGGATTTTCACGCATCGCAACGTTTGAGGAATTGAGAATGAAAAATCATAGCATCTTTTGATTGGATTTACACTGACTTATCAAACACTCACAAGCAATTTGTCACATTCTGCATCGCAGTAATTTCTCAAAGAGAAAATTATATTTTGGCAAGCTAGAGAATAATAATTTTTCCCTGTTTGTTACACAGAGCATAGAAAATGAATCTTTATGGCCTGTCGTGCTAAATTTTCTCTGTATTTTATCACAAGTCAGAAATAAAACTATGTGAATTTCTGTATTTTCGAGAGATCATGACATTCGACCTTTGCGCTTGAGCCAACAATTTCAGACTCACTGCCTTTGTTTCAGTATTAATTCTCCATAGCAAAAACATCTCACACGTTTCGTGGTTATGTTGGTTTTACTTGAATATTGATTGGAAAGACTCTGCCTGCATGATTCTGAAAATCCTCAAGGAGACTTTAAAATATCTAAGCAAAGGAGAGAGAGAGAAAAAAAGCACCCCAACTCGGAATTATATTTCAAATCTACTTCTCGTTCTCTCTCTAAAACACTTCTCGGGCCAAGTATACATAAATAACTTCACCTGTTCATCCCTCCATCCCCTTGAAAAAGCGGGTGGATTGTTGCAAATCATTGTCGAGAGGAAATCAAGTGAAATGTGAGCTCGTTAGAAGCTCAATTTCTTTTGGTGGAACTTTCATCCCCCTGAGGCTCTTTTGCAAGTGCCAAATTTTATCTCCCTCAAAAGGTTTCCACTCCCAACGCCCCCGAAAGACTGGGTTATATCAGAAGAAAATTGATAAATGCACACACGGAGAGGCTTTTATTTGGTGGCGAAGAACAAAAACAGCTCTCTTTCTTGGAAATGGTCTCTAATTTATTGATTTTGGGCCTAACACGCCCCCAATTTATGTCTTCTGGCTGTGGAAATGCCTTTAATACTCACGTATTTTTAGAAAGATTTTACAATATTGATGATAATTATAAGAAATCCGGGGCAGTTTTTGGAAGAACAATTTACACAAGAGGAAAGCAGATAAATTAATGGGATTATTTTAGACGTTGTTTAATTTCTTGAAATTCCCAAGGGGAAGATAATCTAGCCAGAAGTGGTGTACAGCTTAGCCAGAAGTATTAGGAAGTTGATGTGGTCAAATTAACATCATTCAAACTCATTTTCTTATTCAGATCTTCAATTTGATATATTTTTTCTAGGAAACGTAGGAAATGTTTCACATAAATTGATATCATTTCCACTTATTAATAGAATAGTGGATTTAAACTAAATAAAAATCACGATTTTAGAAGCTGAGTGGCTAAAAACAGTGCTAAAGTAAAACATAACCTTAATTCTTTTACCTTTTATTTGTGATTCTAAGCTAGAAAGAATCAAACCAAGATCTTTTAAGAACAACTCAATGCAATTGAAAGATTGTCGTAAAAAAGACACCAAAAGTTCAATTAGAGGAAGGAAATTTTGAAATATCGTCAGAAAAACTGAAAAAAATGCTTGTAAATTAGATTTCAGTTAGTTTCCAATTTATTTTCAGCGGAATAAAATCAAAATTGACAGCATAATTAACTGTTAAGACTTTTTCTAACGAATCGTGGAAGTGTTAGAAAATGGTGTACAGATTTTTGCCATATTATCTTCCCCTTGGAAATTCTCAGAAAATTTTAAATTACACTTTTAGTCATTAGATCGACTTATTCTGCCTTTTCATACTAACATCTCAAATCTAATTAAAACTTCTCCACCTCCGAACATTTTACTGGAGGTTAATTTTCCAAATCTTCTTTGGCTTTTCTCTCTGCGGGGAAATCTATCGATCGCGTCTGACTCTCAAGCAAATGTGTGTTTTTATAAAAATTTCTTCAATATTCAAATCTCATGTATTTGAAAACCACAAAGTGCCTTTTCTTGTGTGTGCGAGAGAGAGAGAGAGTGTTGTAATTGGGGAGAAGCGGGAAAATGCCTCCCCAGCAAGGCGCGAGGGAATACCACGGAAGGCAGTTAATTGGCACCAGAGTCATCAAATTCTGAGGAAAACCACCCTCATCGGGACTTTGGGGGGAATGCCGGTGCTTAGGGAGGATTTCCCGGAGACTCTGTGTCCCCGGCCGAAGACATGGCAGATAAATGGGATGTGTGTTGTTATCAGAGGCACAAGAGGAGCCGTGTATTAGTTGGCACAGAAGGTCATTCAGCATTGTCACTCGCCCCAGTCCTCGTCAGAGCGGCTCCTCGCCTCGTCTTGTGGACTCTGTGTCGCCTAAATTTAATTCCTCCCACCAGATCTCGGGGTGGACGAGGGGATGCGAAGTGCCATCAGTCTCCGATGGAGTCGTAAGCCACACGCAGTAACTCTCCAGCCATCCCTCATTAGCATAAAAACTATAAAATTACCAAGATGACAATAATCATTTTTTCACGCCACGCTGATTTTTCGCATTTGTATCTAAGTCAGTGGCTTAATTTTGTTTTTCCTGCCCATTTCACGCCGTTTTTGTATAATTTTCTCCAACCAAAATCTAACGTTGTGCGTAAATTTAAGGATGTTGAAGGCTCTGTTAAGTATATTCAATGTTGTGAGGATTGGAAAAACCAATGGAAAACGACAAAATGACGCAGATTCAAGTGGAAACCGAAAAATGGCAAGAATGTACATAATTGATGGAACGGACGTGGCGATGACGTGAGTTGAATGTGAAGATTTTCCATCTTCAATTACTTCTTTACACCAAGACTTTCACCTTTTCAGCTATGGCGAAGGAAGAATCTTTTCTGTTCGCGGAATTCAAATTGCATTGAACAAGTATGCAGACATGAATTGCGAAGTATATGCAATTGTACCCCAGAAAACGTAGGGAAAATATCAAATTCTGCAAACAAATATATGATAAATTTGGTCCTTCTTTCAGAATGAAGAAAATCTTCACCGACAATCACACTTTAATACACGCTTTGCAGAAGAGTGGCAAAGTTTTCTGTGCACCAGGGAAAAATTTACCAAATGGTTCAATCACAGAATGCAATCCGCAACGATTTATCTTAGATATTGCAATTCAGTATGACGCAGTCATCTTGAGTAACAGCGATTTTGAAAGAGTCTCAGATGAAAAGACTGAATGGAGACAGTTAATTCAACACGGCAGACTGCAGCGTTATAAATTTGATGGTGATAACATAATTTTGCTGTAGAAATATTGTGTAAAATACACGTAAAAACTAATCATTTATGAAAATTAATAAATTGATTTTAAAGGAGAAAGAAATAATTATTTAATGTTTTTTTCTATTTTTTTTCATGCAAATTTCCATTATTTCTTTTATCATGCTATAAAAATCAAAATATTTGATTATTCTTTGTATTTTTTTTCATTATTTTCTGACTATTTAATTGAAATTTAAGTATTCGATTATTTTCTCCACATATTTCCGCCAGAGGGCAGCAGTTTAATCGCTAAAGACATGTAGAAGTTCCGATTGTATTTCCCAGAGAGAAGTTTGGTCGAAATTATAGTGGTTTATAGATTATTTAAAGGCTTTTTAAACCCCCCAGATTAAACCATTGTTAAATACTGAAATAATTTCAATATTCTGAATATATTTTTATATATTAATTTGATTCATTAAATATTACGTCGATAACAATGAATTTTTAAATCTTTTGCATTTATCTTGGAAAATACAACAAAGTAAAAATAAATATGTAAATATTTGATTGAGACTTTTAGTATCTCTTTAAAATCCTGTTGATTTTCATAACATCTTTTCCTCAAACTCTTTTGCACAAAAGATGATCAAATCATCTTTACTCGTTCGTATTGATTTTTTCTTTCTCATTTCCACAATTTCCTTGGCAATCCTAATAAAGTTTTTTTCCCCACTGATTTCCGGAAGCATTTACCAACTCTGGTGCTCCCCAAATTCGGCAAAAGAAGCCTCGGCAAAAAAGTGGAGTGGTTGAGAGAAAAATTGCTGAAAATCCATTACACTCCACGAGAGAGAGAGGATCACTTTTCCCACCCTCTCTCGTGTTGCTCGCCCTGCGGTATAAAACACTATCAGAGCCTCATCGAAGGAATTTGATGAGAGGGATTTTTATTTCCATTCGCTCGTCCTTGCCTGGCCATTGCTTGCGTGGAGTGATTTACGATGGACACGCGGATACCATGGACCAGAAGGACGCGCATTTGTGGGAATGGCAGAAGTGGAAATACTTACGCCGTCGGGCAAGAATCGATTTGTCGCTTCAGGAGATGTGAATTCACTTAAAACGTCCTGAAGTTTCCGGGTTGAGTCTGAAATTGGATGGATTGAGGAGAGAATTAAATGTAAATCAATGTGAGCCGATTGTGGTGATTTGTTTTATTTTGGAAAAAAAAGCTTTTGGTCGGAAAGTGCGTGAAAATGAAGAGAAAATCCTCTGTGTCACACGATGGGTCATCGAAAAGGGTTAAATTTGACAATTCTGCAGGTCCAAGAAAGCGTTTAGTGGTTCTCGATGGAAGCAACATTGCGTTCTTGTGAGTCAACATATATTTCCTCATGGGTTTCATTCCTATTAAATTCTCTATCATTTTCAGCCACTCGAATCACACATATTTCTCCGTGAGAGGCCTGGAAATTGCCATCGAGGAAATCATGAGAATGGGACATGAAGTAGTGGCAATTGTGCCAGCTTTTCGCATAAAACCAGGCAAAACCTCCGATCAAATGTTATTACAAAGTTTGGTCAACAGAAATCTCGTCAAATTAGTCTGCTTGAACACTTTTGAACGATGCTACGACGATAGCTTTATTCTGAATGAAGCCAAAGACACCAATGGCGTGGTCGTTTCCAACGACAACTATCTTGGCGAAGCCCAAAGCAGTGCAGGTACGATTCTTGAGGATGTGATTCTTAATTTTGGTGTCGTTGCAACTTTACTTTCATAGCATTTTAAATAAAACATAAAAAATATGCAGTCAATTCATGTATTTTGTCGCGTGAAGACAAGAAAAAGCTAGAAAATTTAAACTTTAAAGGCATGTTGAAGTTGCGACAGTATTTCCTCCTCATTTTATGTGTATAAATTCAGTTTGTGACGAATTTTGATACTTTTTGCTATCTAAATTATCATTTCTCCTAAACATTCTGAAAATATCGAAATATAATTAAATTTATTTAAATATTTGGTCAAAAATATAATTTTTTTTTATTATCAGTTAGCTTTTACGAATTGAAATGCGAAATCCTTAATGTTGCAACGATTCTTTATTTTGCAGAATTTCTGGAAATCGTTGAAAATCGTGTCATCCCGTTCATGTTTTTCAAGGACAAATTCATGCTTCCTCAAGATCCGTACGGGGAAAATGGACCTACACTTTCCTCACTTCTCAACAGGACTTCTTAGAGAGCAAAACACAATCAGAAAGCAATCGTAAACATCGTGTGCTCTTTTGTGTACTTCACATGAAAATACACTTTTTTTTGTAAACAGCACTTATTCTGGGTTTATATTCAATATGGTAAAGATGGCAAGAGTCTTGGATGCAGAGCAACTCGCGCTTGGGTTATTAACATCAATATCATTAACATATGCAACACAGCATTATAGCTTGAAGTGTTGCAAAGTTGTGAGAACAGAAGCTGGCGCATTTTCATTTATAAAATCATATTTCTCATCTCAATGGTCTCTCATATCCAACGTGTTGCTCCCTTGTGAGCATGAGCGCGTAATTATTTATTAAAATTTTCATTACAACTCTTGAAATGAGCACAAAATTCTCCTATACTTCCTGCACTTGGCATATTTCAAATTTAATCTATTCGATTCACCGGAAAAAAAAGAACTCTTACAAAAGAATGCGAATATTTTTTCATATTCCAGCACTTTTTCCTCCATTCACAGTCAACATTAAATAGTAATAGAGTTTTCCTTTCGTGTGAATTTTTTTCTGTTCGCCAAGGAAGGATGCGCGACCAAGAGTGTCGAAAGTGTGTGTTTGGCAAATATACGTACATGATGCGAGTTCTTGGAGCTGCTGAAATTCACTTGGCGACAATTTTTCCCAGCGGGGTCCAGCTGCAGCCATGTCCTGAAAAATTCAGATGAGAAAAGCGCGTGAAAAATATCATATTCACACAGTTAAATTCTAATTTGTGCTCCTCCTTGTCACAATGGCAGAGGCAAATAAACCGAGTGGAATTGTTCAATGGACAGCATTTTTCAAAATTAAGCCAAATGTTGGGAAAATCATGAATAATGGAAATTGAAAAATTGTGCTTCGCCATTTCAAATTTCATAATAAAAAGAAAGAATGCCAATGATAAAAAGGATGCTATTTTTGGGCAAAGTGATATATAAAAAATTGTCAAGTGCCTATCATAAATTATCTGCTAGATCCTTATTTCTTCCGCTGATTTCTTTCTATGTGCAATAATTTGTGGAAGATATGGCGCATTCATTCGCAATCCTCTGTATTTTATTATGCTAATGATAAGGAGACTGTCTTTATGTTTCTCCTCCACTTCTTCTCTTCTTTTTTTTTGTGTGTGTGTGACAAAACGGATAAGAGACCTAACACAAAAAAGCATCCCCAATAAAAAGCTTCTAGCATATTTCTTTTATGTTTTCGCAACATTTTCTCTCTTACTGCCATGAACCCTCGTCTCATGATTTGCTCTGCTGAATGGAGCATGAAATGTTGGGAGAGGCAGTGGTGGAAGGGAAAGAGTGTGTCTTTCTTTCTTACTCATCTGCCTCTCCATTGATTTCGGCGTTCAGGGCATTTGTATATCGACGGGTGAATCGAAATCTATCATAAGTCGCCTTTTGAGAGTTGACGTCTTATGTGTTTTGGGATAGATCTTGATGTCTTCTATCGCAACTGACAATAATATAATAGATTCATTGGCAAGAAATGAAAAGAAAATCAGATTTAACTATGGAAACTCGATTTTTCATAGTTTTCAGTCGATATTTTATAGAATTAGAGGAGAAATATTAGAACTACTGAATATTTGTCCTGTTTTCTTTAGTTCTTTTTCATCTTTAAATCCACTTTAAATCATTTACATGAATTAGACGAATTAGACATTAAGTTGGACATAATTTTGTATGGTAAAAAGTATCAAATATGACAAAAAATTGACGAATAATTCAAAATTCTGAATAAAATCAATGAAATTTAGAAAAAAACGAGTCTCATAATCATTTTTCGCAGAAAAAATCTCCTTATTTCAGTTGTAAATCATATGAAATACACATAAAATGTACAGGACAAATTAGAAAAATTACTTTTTTCGAACTGTTCAAGAAAAAAAGCACAAAGAAAACTATCAAAAACCGCCTTTTTATACTAAATATCGTGAATTTGTCCATGAATTTCTCTTATTTCAGTTAATATTTCAATAACTAACCAATGAAATCAACAGCTCTACTGAAGAATGACGGTTTTGGCTTTTGCTACTCTTCGAAGCACCCGCCGATATAAAGACTCTGGCAAAGTGTCTTTCAATACGCCAAAAATAACGTCTCCACAATGATTCTTCCTCCTTAACACATTCCTTTTATAGCAATTTAAATATATGGATATCCAGCAGTGTGATAAAAAGATGGAAATTTCTCTTTTTTTCATATCACCAAAATGAGAAAAAAAAACTCGAGGAAGGACCGTGAAGGCGAAGGACAAAAATTGAATTTAAACGTGCCGTAATTCTCTCTTTTGTTCCAATAACGCACCGGATCAACCACTTGGCTGAACCAATTGATTTTATTTGAAAAGTTATATCAATGAAAAATTGCTTTTTTCCTCTTTTCTCGCATGTTTCGCCCCCACTTAATGCCTCCTCATCCCAAGAAAAAAAACGATGCCTTTCATCAGCGTGTGAGGAAATCTCAGAGAGGAGATTTTCTATTTTCACGCTATACATAAACACACTCGCACACGTGATCCTAAGTAGCTTTTCCGGGTTGCTCGGGGGCCTCAAAGCCCACGGAGAATGTAATCAAAGAGTCAAATGTCAATAAACCGGAGCCCAAATTGCCCATACGGCGTCTCTCATCGATTGACCACATCATTTGCTGCTTTAAAATTGTAAATATAAAATTGGTGCTGAAAATTACACTTTGGAATGAGATGAACTGTTAAGCGATGAAAAATCAAATAAACAACACTGTTCAATATAAAAATTCATCAATTTGCGCCTATAAACACTGGGTGATTTCCGTCCCTTTCACGCCACTTTACAAAACTACCAGAAATCGCGCGTCTATAAAAATTGGCGGTGCTGAAGTTTATCTTTGAAATGAGATCCGGTACGGAGTTTGAGTTAAAATTAATTTCACCCAATTGAGTGGGATCATAAGAGGGGAACCTAAACATAATATGCAAATAGCATTTTATCCATTCACGATGATGATTGGAATTAGAATCGCATCAGCAGTGGCGATAACAGAAATTGCGTGTTTAATTGTTTTTTTGTGAATTGCTGTGGTTAACGTAATCATCTTGTATTAGCTGGAAGAACAAATGATACAATTTGCCTTCCAGAAAAGTAGAAGAGAAGATATTGGCAAATTGTTGTGGAAAATCGAGTCCAGATGGTTTAGTTTGGATTAAATTAACTCAATCATATCAAGCCATTTATATTCCAAGAGTTTTTACCCACAATCTTACCAAGTCCATTTGGTATTAAATTGGAAGAATCTGCAAAGCTTTCTTGCAATCTCATCACAGTCTGTGTGATAAGAAGAACTATAATGATGATTTTAAAGAAATCCACGCGTGAATACGGAGGAATTTTCTTAAACCTGACAAACGTGAAGGAAGTTTGAAGTGATGTCGCTGGAACTTGGGTGGATTGAACAGTGGGCATCATAGATTGAAAATGTGGCAATAAAGATTGGGAAAGTTTAGTGCCTCTGGCGCGTTTCTTTAACACTGAGCGAATCGCGGTGTGACAATGATGCGTCTGTATCGCGAATCGATTTGGCGTTGCGAGTCAATTGAGGAGAGGCTAGAAACTTCCATTCAATTTAGCTTTTCAAATCAGGGATTGAAATTGTTGCCTCTGGCTGGCGATGGTTTAATGATTCAATTCGCTCAGGGTTCGCAGGAGTTCAGCATGACTGACTGTTTCGATGAAAACATTCGTGCACGCCACACTGCGGCCATAAATCATTCAGTTGCATTGTAATTTCCCTCCCTTGGGATTTAACACACTCAGTCTGTGGTGCATTTGCGAGCTCCGGCGCGCGAATGTCCGCCCAAAATCCTCGGCATCCGGACGAGATCGGCGCAGATGTGAGCGGATTGATGCCAAGGCGCCAATAATGTGAAGTGCGCTATTCGCGCGCGCAAAATGATTCACAGCGTGCTCCGAAACAGACAAAGTGATTTTGGAGCTCAAAATAATACCCCAGAAATATGTATGCAATGCTCCGTGGCTGTCTCTCATGTCTGGCCTATTAATAATCATCTCGCACTCCCTTGATCGCCGCTGCCTGTTTCTTACGACTGTTCCGGGATTTTAAATAATGTATATATTATTAAATTTTACTGTACCGACCAAGGTACCGACGAACAGTTGTAAAAATTCACCACTTTAGAGCACCTTTGGCACCTTTTGTAGCAGTGCATAATGAAATTTCCCTCACTAATTTTCCTCTCCGCCCACGGTCTTTAGATTACTTTGAGGGCAAACGCAAATGTTTGAGGAACTTTGAGGTGTGGTGAGCCTCCTTGGTGCGTATTTATTCAAGCAATGCCACCCGTATTTTGTGTCACCCCTCCCGAAAGAGGGTGGATGAATGAAGCTCTCCCCCCAGTTGAATTACACGTTGTGATCCCTTAAACGCAAAATGCTATCACATTCATCGACGCACCTGAGTGTGAAAGCCGCGTGAAATCAGCGGTGAATGCACGTAATTCAGTATCGCGGCTTGGCTTTCATCCCTCAATGCACCTGTGCTCGTCGCAATCACACCACATTGTTTTTCCATTCACCCCGCAATGGGCTTCGATGATGTGTGATTTTCCAATAATAATTGTCGTTTGATGGGAAATTGTTTGGTGCCCACTTTCACCCACTTTGGTGGAAAGCACACTTCAGCGAACTTTGAACGTTCGAGTAGTTTTTTTTATTGGGTTTATGCATTTTATGTGCAAAACTTTTCCTCCACCACTTTTCTATGTGACAATTTCCAGAACGAGCAGGGGGAGGAAAAAAAAGTTAATTCCAACTAGAGCAAATGTTTTCCCGAATTTACACAGAAAAAGTTGCACAGAAAACTTGTCTATAGTAGCGAAAGTTTTCTCCCCCACAGAGAAATAATAAAAAGCATTCCTTCCATTTAATGTACAAATTGTTGAGGGGAATTTGGAGAAAAATTTCTCACAATATTGACTCAATTTCAACGAAAGGAAAATATCAATTGATTTACAATTTTGGAGCAAAAAGCTCTTAATCTCATCACTAATAGGATTTTCCCCGTGACCTATTTCGGCCTTGCTACGCCTCAAATTGGCCCAATGTGCGTTTATGGCGCCTATTTTTGACTACCGCGCGCGCTTCACACATTGTCTACGCAATCAAGGTTCGATTGCTAATTTAAATTTTGAGCCAAATTAACGCCTTCCAGGCATAGGAGAGCGCCAAGAGTGTGTTTTGCATCACATACGTGTGATTAGTTGATTAGTGAGGCAACTTTATGGCCCACCTACCCCATAAACAAGGTGATTTTGTGTATCAATTCTCGCGTCTGGGTTTCCTCGTCTTCATCTAAACATTTTCTCCACGTTGCGAAAAAATCTCAGTTTCGGAAGATGATGTGGAAAAAAAAGTCAGTGGACAGCTCTTGAGTTTTACTGCAAAGTTAACCATTTTCTCTGTAATCAATCACACTTTTGGTTTGCAAAATCATTTTCTTGGAATTCCTCCATTGCTTATTTATCTCTCTAGTGACGATCTTATTCGCCTGCCAATGTCTGTGTGATCCATTGTTCGTCTCTTATTGTTTAATTCAAGGGGGAGATAATGTGGCTAAAACTAGCACAATTTCTGTACAGAATCACAGAAATACAATTTTATACTT